CATTGAAAATTGAACAAGCAATATATAAACAAGGAAAAAATATATATTAATAAAATACTTGAACCTATCTATGGATCCATCAAGAGGTTGATATGCAGATGGGTAATTCAGATAAAAATCAAATTTATATTGGTAGGTTTTTTACAATAGGAACTACAGTTTTAAAAATACTTTAATAAATAGGTATTTTAAACTGTGACAGGAACGTTGAACATAACGTTTCAACAATATTTATCTTTATATCATATTTTTTCAATGCATCTCTAAGTAAAAAATTCTTCCCATCTCTCTCTGAAATCTACCTAATCAATCTCATTCATAAAAAAACAAATAAATCACTAGTTTATTTTCAATATTTATATCAACAATTTCTATTTTCTCAAAAATAATTAACTATAAACTCATTAACTTATCTACATAAACACATTAATTCTGCAACAAAATGAGTTTTGTTGTAACAAATCAATTGTGACTAATTTAATAGYATTTAAACATGATATATTCAATTTTTTCTCTAACAGTCAATAAACTAATGTTATATAAACTGATTTTGAGAAATATACTATACTTTAAGAATGAGTAGAGTGCACTGATAAGCACTTGGTAGGTTAAATACCTGCTATGCTTGTAGTCCAGAGAAAATATGCAATGGTTTCACGTACCTACTATCTATATTTATCATTTACGACCCAGCAGGTAGCTTAAAGCTACCCAACTGTCRCCTATAAGTCATTCAAACATTGGGACTCTATTTATAACTCTTGACATTGTGATAATAAAAAAGTAACAAAACTAATAACTTCCATCAAAAGGGAATTAATTAAGTCTAAAAATAGCATATGTTTTAAAAATTTTTATTACTTATGGTTTGTCATTAAATTAAGTACCATATAATGTGCCATTGTGATCAAGGGTATGAATAGAATGAATTTCAAGTTTTATTTAGTCAGCTATATTATGTGTTTCGAGTGCACAGAAAACAATTTTATAGATTATATTAGGTTAGTTGTTTTATTATTAAGGTACTTATACACATACATTTATTTATCAAGTGTAAATGCAACTGGTAGCCAAACATAAATACATTAAAAGCATGCATAATTAAACAAAAATAGTATCAATGGTGAAAGTGACATTTAAATATATTAAATAACATGGTCTTAAATAAGTTACATAAATATTGTACAATATGGATATAACAAGAAGCGAATTACATATTTTTAAATTGTTAATTGTTTATACATGACTATCGGAGACAAAAATATGGTTTAAATTTTTAACTTTTCTGTGGCACAACAATGATTTTAAAAAAAGTACAGCCATAGATATTTTAGATTTTTAAGATCATGTATAATAAAGTGAAACATATTACTTAAAAGTTAAGATTATACTTTTTCCTATGTAATTTAACTTAATTGATTAAATGATTTTTTTAAATACTCCTTAAAAAATTGATAGAAAAAGCTGATTCTTTTCATTACTTTCAAAATTTTTCTATCGGTTATCAATTTTCAGTTAAAATATCTCTATCAGCAAAAAACAGTTCATTTTTTAACCAAAAATCAATTAATAGTATAAGCAACAACCATCATGCTCATGATTTTTTATCAAAATCTCTGATTCAACGTTTTTATATATAGTATAAAAACATGGCCATATAAATTATTGATAATATGAATTTACCAATAATAAACACTGTGCTATAATCTAAAAAGGTCGAAAATGTGTTCATTGTCAAGTTTAAATTGTTTTGTGAATACATTTCTGAAGTTCTACAATGTGTATTAGGTATATAATTATTATAAAATACCCAATTACATTTAAATTTTTAAATTTTTATTTGGAATAAAAGATGTGTTTTAAAAATGTTTAAGTGCATAATTTTTTATTTACGTACTAGGTACATAATTATATCACTACTTTACTTACTATTATACCTACATTATTAAATTTATAAATATTTATGACTTATGGTAACCTTTCAAAATSTGACACTCTTGATTTGAAAAGGGTATGACAGGGCTGCTGCAATCAGAGGAGCTTTCAATGGAGTACAGGAAATAGTATTGGAGGAATATCCTATAGCAAATTAGTGAATGTAAACTCATTCATTGAATTGTATATTAAACGATGCATCAAAATTACAACCTGATAGAAACTGCATTGGGGTAATAAGAGAAATAAATACATTTATTAGAGCATAGGTAAAAAGATCTAATATCATAAAAACAAAATTATCTGAACATGGAATTAACCTAACCTAACCTTCACGTTTAATGAATTACTATGACACTAGATGGATGAAGCAATTGTTATTTTCAAAAATAAATATTTATAAAATATATTATAAATATTGAATAATAATTGAATCTATGAAACAAATAATACCAAATAATAATGATAATGGAACAGCTGCTCGATCATTTCATAAAAAACTTTGTGATTTTGAATTTTTAATAACATTAGTCACTGTTAGCAAAATGTTGGCTATAACTCATCAAATATTAGTTAGTCTACTAAAACCTGATATTAATATAAATTGGGATTTAAGTTCTGCTATTGGGCTCATAGAACTTGTAAAATCAGTCATGATATTAGATCAATGTTGAAATTGAAATTAAACACTTGTATTTAAGTGCTAAAGCTATTAATTCTAAACTTATTGTTGAACCATCAATACCTAGGATTGTTGGGATTCTAAGTCATYGCCATAATTATTTAACTAACTCTTCAGATGTATATTATAGAATAAATGTATTCATACCATATTTTRATGAATTATACATATCATTAGTCAGCAGATTTTCCAAACGCAAAAAACTCTATTAAGCTTATCAAATTATAACCTACCAATAGATGCAATCAATTCAAAATATCAAAATATTTTTGATGCTGTAGTCTTTTACCTTGCTGATTTTTAAATTGGTGAATCTATGATCTAAGGTGAGTGGGATATTATGGGTTAAAAAGTGGAAAATATTTGAYACAACTATTACAAAAATTCCAAAAAATGCTCTAATGCCCATAAATTATGTCAATTTAATTTGATTTGTACCTTAAAATTTTGGCTGAAAATATTATGTACAGTACAGATTATTATGAGTGTAGAGAAAGGATTTTCCACTCTTGCAAGACTTAAAAAATATGTAGGTAAGAAATAAATGTAGAAATGTCCGATTAACTGGATTAGCTTTAATGACTACACAAATATACAGTTGCAAATTGATGACATTGAAAATAATTTTATAAAAACAATGGTTCTATAAAAATAATAGWATAAACACTATGAAATTGATCTACCAACTATTCTTTATAGTTATTACCTACATATTTAGGTATTAAATAATGTATCAATATTAAACTTTTCCTGACAAAATTTGAGTCAAAATTTTAATAACTAGATACCTAAAATACGGAAAAAAGTACAATTTAAAAAAATATTTTAATTAATTATTACAAAGTAAAAAATTATTGATATCAAATTATTATTATTTAACACTCGAATAATAGCATAAAAGTATGAAAAGGTCTATACAGTGAATTTACAGTAGTAAAAAGTTATTTTACTTTCTATTATACCACTAGTATCTCAACATAATATGTGCCAAACATTATATAAATTAAATTAAATGTTAAAAAGCTTAAGTGTTCCATAGGTTATATCCGAGGTTATATCCATTTCCCTATTCTCTACAGTATCAAACTATATAAACTATAAACTTGAGCTACAAAAGAGAAGCCCATATAATTTAAATAGAACGAAAAATAATGATGATATATATTTTTTTTTTTATTCAATTTATATTATATTAAATATTATATATATATATATATATATATTAATACTATAGGAGCTACCACCTGTTTTGTAACAACATTTTTCATTGAATTTATAGGTAAAAAAAGTTGTTTTTTAATATTGAGTATCAAAATATAAGACTGACCCCTTTTATACAATTAACAAAATTATTTTATTATAATATATTATATTTTATAATAGATAAGTATATTTTTCCATTCTAATGATGCCCCATAATATTTTAAGTTTCATAGTCAATTATTAATATATTTAAAATTTTTAAAAATGTATTGTTCTTTTATTCCCGGATTCTATTTTAATATAGTCATGTTTTAGATAGGTACTTTATTTTATTTAAAAACTTTTACAGTCAGTTCAGATACCCTACAATATTTTTTAACTAAAATGAAAAATATTATCTTATTACAATTAACATAATGTTGATAATAATCGCTAATATTAAAATCTACCAACCTATGTTCTTTGAATAAAATTACAATTATTTTTTATTAATTCTTAACGAAACTAAAATAATAGTTATACATAGATATCAATCTATAATAGTCGAATTTGACTGATTTATTTGTGTTTTTCCACACTCCACCACATATTTTTCACTAATTTTATGAATGTACATAAATTATTGAAAAGTATTTAATAATCAATATAATATATTGAATASTAAAATTATTAGGTAGTAAATAAGTAGTAAGCCAAGGTTCTCTTGTTATCTCAGATTTATGAAAATTGAAACTGGCCATCCTACTGTTGGTTGGTACTTATCGAGGTACTTATCATGTAAATAATTTAATGATAATCTAAATACAAATTAAATTTAAGTATTAAATACATGATTTTAATGTATAATAATACATACCCCGGAACATATTTATCTAGGTTACAGAGTTATATCCCCAGTTTTATATCTTAATTTTTAACAACTGATATTGGTACATAAAAGATTTACTAATTTTCTTGGTTTTGTCAGATAAATAAAAATAGTTTTTTGTTATTTGTAGGTAAATGTAACMACTATCTTTTTGATTTTTGTTGTACATTTTGACTTTTATAGCTGTTGTTGAAGGAAAAAAATCATTCTTTAAAAATGAGAGTAAAATTATGGATATAAATTAACATCTTTGCTATTATCTTAAAAGGTTTGCTCTACAATTTTCTAACATTTGCTTTTTTAATATTAGCATTAAAATGATTTAAAAGTTATATAGAGATACATTTATGTCCTTACCTCATTCCAAAGTTAGATCTCCAAAATTCTGCAGCATCACTTTTGGTTATTCTAAACTTATCACCAGCAAACCTATGATTTGGAAATAATGCTTTGAGCTCACTAAGCATATGGCTGAACACTAAACTCAATTTTGTCAAATTTCTCCTATAATGTGAATTTTCATCATACATTTTTTCCTTGCCCTCCTTGAACAATTTTATGGCTTGTTTGCATTTACGTATCACATTCAAAATAAAAACATTGAAATGCTCATTGTTGTACAGCTCAGAAAGGTCATTCTCATACTGTGTGTAAATGAACCTGAGCCGCTGATACGTGTCTGGCAGTATGTCAAGTATGAACGGTGGCGAGTTCTTTAGGTTCATCTTGGAATGTTGACACAGTTTCACAACCTTGTCCATCAGCTTCCATGTCTTCTCTAGCGTGCGCTTATCAATGGACGCTTTAGGCGATGTAATGGCTTCGGCAAAGGCACCATGCAATTTCATCAATATCGAAGCCAGATTCCTAGGCTGTATCATTCGATTTGTGCTCGATGACATCATGACGTACAAAAACATCAATAGCTACGGACACTGAGCAATGGATCACGGTTGTGACTGTCGCCGGACCGGCATCACTGGTCCGCCATACATAACATATYGTCAGACGTCGGTCGTCGATCGGCCGCCAAATGAGTCAGTACAACAATGATTCGTGTGTTGCACTATCTAGATACCTCAGCTACAGTGACTCAAACAGCAGACTACCATGGTGGCGATTTGACGCGAGGACCGCCAACGCGAAATTATGAAAGCAATAAAACCGGAGAAAWTTCGATCGGCGATGAGTCGAGCACAGCCCGCACCGTTTYATTTACACATCGACATCGTCGCGAGAAATTAATAATTAATATTAATATAATATTATTCGTTATTATTATTATTATTATTATTTATTGTGTCTGAACTCTGGGCTACGGAGAAACGCGTATCGTTATCAGTGAGTTAGAGTGAGAGAATGTGCAAAAGAGGAAGTGGACAATTATTATTATCATTCGACACGGAAATGAAAAATATCCAAGGTTTTCGGTCGGCCGTCGTATGGTGCGGAGTGTTACGCACCATACCGCAACGGTGCATAGACCCGTTACTTCAGTACTACGTCATGCCCCCGTCAGAGCCGACTGAAAGAAGCAACTCAAGACTCGACGCAGTGTCGCTGTCTCTGTCTAGTGCTCCGTGGCCCGTGCTCCGTCATATCTATTACTCGTACAGGATTAATATTATACCCATAAGGCCATAACGGCAGTCGGCGGCGGAGGCGGCATGACGTGTCACCGTTATGCGGGCCGAGTGGCAGACCATGATTGGAGTGAAACTTTTTATTTCTCACGTTTTATGGTATTTTCTGGTTTGTTGTACGATAGTGCGACGTGGCGGCATTAAGCCGTTGGTACTCACTACTCACAGTTATCGCGGTTCCTCGCCAGTCACGTAGTGCATTACGAATTACGTAAATTAAATTAGGCACCAGACACAGTGCCGTCCTAACCACCAGTCCACCAACAACGCGCTAGGGCAACAATATTTGATGGCCCTCTCCCTCCTACGAAAAAATATTGATTTCACATATTTTTAATTAACCTCTTACCTTAAATATGTTTAATACTTATTAATTAAAGGTTCCTGCATTTTTTTTTATACCTAACTATTGTCGTATACGCCGATCACTGACGTACACAAATAAACGAACAAATTAATTATAAGCACTTAGATATTGAACACTTTGATACATAGTATAATAGTATATAGTATATAGTATAAATATTCAAAGTAAATAATATCTTTTATGTTTATAAGAACAACTAATTTATTTTAATACCTAATTATAATAATGTTTTAAAAATTTTATAACAGGTAGATATAATATTTTCCAATATTTCAAACATTTGAACATTATTATGTATAAAACTCACTTGGGTTATGAAAAGGATTTTTTCTTAGCTTTAAGTTTTGCAAACTTTTCAACAATATTAGTCCAACCTATACTTCAAACAACTTAATCTTCAATGCTTAAAAAAGATAACGCCAATGTTTTTTTAATTTGCCAAAGCCCAAAGATGAACATAAATAATCTTAAGCTCTCTTGAGTACAGAGAAAGATTTTTTACCACTCGGGTTAGAGCATGGCATACAAACAAAAATGTTAAGAGCAATTTCAACATTAGGGAAATGGGAAAGTCATATTAAGTGATGGAGTATTAAGGTAGGTATCATGCCTTGCATGTTTTTCATACTTTCTGGTAAATTTGAAATATGTTTTTTAAATTGAATAATTTCCTCGACAAATTCTGTTYCTAAATYTTCAGGKTACATTCTTACTAGTTTTGATGCTTGTTTTCTTAAATCACAGGACTTCATTTTTTCAACTTCAGTAAAAAACCAAATTTATTATACAATTCTATATATGCCAATAACGTTTCAATTTTTTTTCTTGATATTTTTCTATTTTGATCCCCACTCGTTATTTTTTTGGCTATTTGAAAGTAAAATTAAACACAATACTAATAGCGTAAATATTAATTACTAAAACGTAATTAATATTATGATTATTACGCCACTGATATATAATATTAATAGCTAGGYCTAAATCACACGTTCTGCGCTTCTGTGTGTGACGTGTACAACAAACAACAGTCAACATTGTAGATTGTACAAGTTATTAGTATTGAATAAGTGATGATTATTTACTGAATTTTATCGAACGTCTCTAACTTGATTTATTTTTAATTTTTAGAAGTGAGTAAAATTGATACTGAGTACTGAGTTGATTATAATTTATAACCACAAATATCTATACATAATATCATTGAAACCGGTAATAAATACCAGTATTTACATTGATTAAATATACAATATTGTATTGTATGTATTATTACAGTGTTGAACAGTGCCTGATTTAGGGGGGTACCAGGGTGACTAGTTACCCGGCCCCAAGGAGTGGCCCCAAAAGTTTTGCTAGTTTTATATATTATTATAATATTAATAAATGTATATGAGGCCTCTTTTTATTTAAATCCCCGGCCCCAAAATTTGTAAATCAGGCTCTGGTGTTGAATCCAGACAATTTTYCTGGGGGGCTCACTTTTTTTCATTTTTTCATTTTTTCATTTTGGTATTTGAATTATATACCTATTTATATCTATTAATAGGTAGTTATTCTTACTACAATTTATAATTTAGACATTTCAAATTTATATAAAACTACAAAACAAATTACTTTTTTAAATTTTTAAATCAATCTAAAGTTGTCACACATTATAAATCGTATTACCTATTATAATTATTTATTGCAATTCAGAAATTATAAATATTTAAAAAGTTATAAAACAAATTATTAATTGTTAAATCAATCTAAGGTTAATCTAATGTCGTCACATATTATAAATTGTATTATTATAATTTATTAAAATTCAGAAATGAAGATATACATGATATACACCTAATAACTATTAAGTACTAGCTGAACCCGTGAATTTTGTAGCCCGTTGAAAATCCTACCTATTACTCAAACTATGTGTTAAATTCGTTACCTATGATTATGCTACCTATGTAGCAGTATGTTTTTATACTTATAGATGATAACGGTCTTGATTCATTACGATATCGATGGACTGGTACGTTGTCATGTCACCTAGAATTTTGTTTAAAATGGTAATATTGATTGAATTTACATTTTAAATCATAGTTTTTGGCTGCCAATATGGTCCATGCATTGAGTCACTGACGATTACTGTAAGTTTGTGATAGATT